ATATATATATATATATATAACATATATATATATATATATATATATATATATATATATATATATATATATTTTATATATATATATATATATATATATATATATATATATATATATATATATATATATATATATATATATATATATATATATATATATATATACGAAGAACGTAACCCCCGGAAATAAAACCCTAAGGAGCCACCTTAAGACTACAAAGTTAAACATTTTTCTGTCTAAGTTCATTAACCAGTCATTAGTACAGTCGAGTAATGCTGTAGCTGTAGAGTGAAATTTTCGAAAACCAAACTGAGAATTACTCAGAAGTTCAAATTTTGTTAAATAATTGTATAGTTGATCGTACAGAATTCGTTCCATAACTTTACTTATAGCTGGCAAAACTGAAATTGGTCTGTAGTTTCCTGCTGCATTTTGTTGGCCATTTTTGTAAAGAGGTATTATTCTAGCCACTTTCCATTTATCAGGGAAAGAGGAGAGAGTAACTGCCTGATTAAAAATATATGTCAACGAATCTGAAATGGCAGGAGCTGCTATTTTAATAATTTTACAAGAAATTTTATCAATTTCAGTTGCTTTATTGCCTGAAAGTCCATGCAAGAGATGGTAGATTGTACATACTCCAGATTATCTCTAATTACCAACAGACTTAAATCACATCGACGTAAATTATATCAGTTCTATTTATGTACTATTTAAAAAATGAGCAGGAGTGTTTTATTAGGTTTAAAGCCACGAGCGCGCAGCGCGAGTGGCTTTAGACCTAATAAAACACGACCCGCGAGTTTTTTAAATGACTTCAAAAACGTATGCATAATAAGTCAAATCTTTATATAAAAATCTTTATATAAAAATCTTTATATAAAAATCTTTATATAAAAATCTTTATATAGTTTGCATAACAATGGTCTTTTGTTAAAGTGTTCTTTAGCTGGTATAAAGACGTATGCACGTGACTAATTTCTTACTCAAGATTGGATAATTGCTTCATAAATTATTAGTGAGTTTTTGAATGTTTAATAAATGTCAATTTAAAGATGGTTACATAATAAAAGTGTTGTATTGATAGATAACGTACCATTACTTTAAGATTAATACCTCAATATATCCTTTTGGTGTTAGCATGAGGAAAATGCATAGCGTTATATTATTATTATTAATTATTGAATTCCAAACTATAGTAACGTAACTAGATGTTCCTGATTTTAAATCAATAATGTTATTATTTGTAATTTATAAACGTTTTACAACTGATAGATTTTTTAGATTATAGACGTCCATAAATTATTGTTATCTTGACATGAAAAAGTGTAGTATCTTCATGCTGGCAACAGATTTGCATGAATATTAATAACACCACTTATAACATAATCGCTGATTTCATTCGCTTTTGGGCTGGAGCGTTGCAAGAAATGCTTCACTTCATCCAGTGGTTCCTCATCTGTGCATCTTCTCCATTCTTCCAACTCCTCTTGTTCGACTCCAACTAAAGTGAGGCGCCACTGTGTGTCGTAGTAACGAGGAGAGTAGTGGTGAAAGAAATACCAACCTGCTGTCGCCATGCCAATGTTGTCCAACAGTGTGCACAATTCTGCGTTATCTGGGTTTTCCTCTTTGGCCTTCTCGATCTTCTGGTACATAACTTTAGCTATTGAATTGAGTATTTGGACAGCTTTTAGAGCAGCCTGGGACTCTCCAGAAACTTCTTTACTTTCGGCCATTATTCTGACTGTGTTGGTAACTCTTGTTCCATCACTTTTTTCTTTCTCGTGGGAATAGATATCGTTAACGGTCATACAATAGAAAGCACTGAGGCTGTACAACTCGTTGATGAGCGGCAAGTGTGCTCTGATTTTTCCTATCGCCCCAGACATTACTTCAAGTATGTAAAGCCAAGGACATCCGGCGCCCGATAATGTACGCCGCCAGACAATTTCAACATTTGGGACAACACATGTGCTGGACTCCGTCTTGCAAGATTCAATGTAGAGGGCGAAAGAGACACATAACCTCCTCCAAAAATCTCTCACATCATCTTCGGCGAAGTGATCTTTCTAAAGAAGGGATTTTACTACGGAGTTTGTAAAATCCATCAGTTCCAAAACTTGTGGTATTAACTTCTCGTCAGTACCCTTCTTCCTCAACGACTGCTTCATTTCAGCAAGAGTTGGGAGTCGGGGAAATTGCTCACAAAGTTGTCTATCCAACATTTGAAAGGCGTCGCAGAGTTGGCGCATCTCAATTTGACTGAATGTTTCCTTTTTGTCGTCGCTGATGAATATACTGGTCGACAAATTGACAAAGAGCTTGAATACTTCCCTGCACAACGAATTGTTTGGAATAACTGCAACGGTGCAACGCATGAGGAGATATGGTCCAGCAGACGCGACGTATTTTTTGGCAATGTGCCTGTCACACAAGCCGAGAGCGACTATCCACTTAAAACACTCTTCTTCATCGAATAATTCTGGGTCTATGGCTTCATTCACACTATCGTGGTGGTATTTTGACCATTTTTTTGGGAGTTGTAATTCCTTACTGCATGCCATTTCACTCTTAAATGAGAAAAAAAGAACAAGAAGCTTTTAATTAATGTGTTGTTACAGAAGTAACTTTTGAACAACTATAACTTGTCGTGCATGGTAGCAAGCTAATTTCTTTTGAGAAACGTTCTTATGGTGACTTATCAAGTGAAGTATCTGCTAATTGATCATCGAAATAGTTGGTTTATAGTTGGCTAAAGTTACGTTCTTGATAACGTAAGCTTTAAACTGAACTTCTACTATTGCTGAGTTCCCTACACTGTTCTTTTGAGACTTTCCAATTATTACCATGGTAAATAGTACGTTTGTCAAACGTTAACCTATATAAAGTATATACAAATAGTGTTACAAAAGTCTATGTTCTTGTTAGTAGTGAATGGATAAGATTCATAGATGACATATTTGCAATTTGAACCTATGGCATTGAAAAACTCCAGAAATTCTTATCATACATTAAAAACTTCTATCCCACAATTAAATTTGACTACACATACCCATACAAATCAGTCAACTTCCAGCTACCTTTACACGACTATTTACACTGTACATTACTTCCAACAACAAATTCGAATCAGACTTATACATTAAACCAAATGGTAGAACTCTACTCCTGAACCAAATTATCAAACACTGGAAAAATTTTTGAAAATCCATAGAAGGTCATAGAATGGAAATTGTATGGACCTTTATTGGAAATAGCATGGATTTTGGTTATCCATAATAATAGTATATTTCCATAGTATGGATATAGTATGGAAATAGGATGGATATACTATGGATTTAGTGGTGCAATTGCAAATTTCGTAGTATGGATTTCACTTATTTTCCAGTGAAAATTCCTCCCACCCCCAAACATGCAAAAACTCTTTATATTTACAGCCAAGCACTGCAATGGACGCATCACAATAAGAGACTACAACAAAGTGACTGGACAACCTACTTATTGCACTCATTCACCCAGGCTACAAACATGACAATATTATCACATCACTACTATACACACAAAATGACGTACTTAACAAAACAAAAAATGCAAATAAAGAAACTAACAAAACAATCTTCGCAACTCAATACAAAAGTTATGCTAAATTAAATACATTGCACATTGGTCAACCACACAAGAGTGTTGTACATCACAGCTAATACACATCCGATCCCTAAGCAATAAATCAAACACTCAAGCCCTTTATCTCAGTTCACTCTCCCCTCCTACTATGTCTCAACCAATTTTTTACCCCAAGTCTCAAAATATGTTACCTTTATATAAACGCTATAACTTCCCTCTCAAAACACTTGAAATATAAACACGCTCGATATAAAATGACAAGTTCACAAACACTAGCTATTATTATAAACCAATAGTCAAAGTCGCATTCAACCTCGTTCCCAGGGCTTCAGTGTGAGGACGAGGCGAGACACGACGGAGCCCTGAGTGGGCCGGTCAATTTTGCATTCTGATTGGCCGACACCATATTGTCTAAAAATAACTGAACTTGACAGTTGACAATAACAATTCAACATTTGTATTTTTATGATTCTTGTGTGTACGAGTATGTTTTGCAAAATAATCTTTCAAGGTAAGACGTTTTCCCGACTGCATGATTTATTTTCGCCTCGGCTGGTTACAAAACTGAAAAGCCGTGTCGAAGCGAGCTGTGATGTTTCCTGGCAAAACAAGAAACGTCTACTATTATTTAAGCTGTAGTTTTCCCTGTACAGTATTTATTAGTGCATATGTCTGATGAAATACTACGCGTACTGCATTGTAGTAATATTTTAATTTACAATATTCTGTACTGACAAATAAAAGCAAGACAAACAATTAAATGAAACTACTAAATTAATTTAGGCCCTGTTTTAATACCTAATAGCTCTGTACGCCTAGGCCGATGTAGTCTCTACAAGATTCGCACGCCACCGAGTTTTACAGTTTCAGAATACCCCGAATACTTGAAAATTGCGACTATACGATAAAATAAAACAAAGATTGTGAATGGGATAAAATTTGTAGGCAAGCATTGCTCCTGAACGGCAAGTGTTGGTGTCCGGCGAATCAAGCGAATCCGTATATTCCTGTACAGCGTAAACAGGTTTAAATACGCGGAGTTTTATATTTGTGTTTATTTATATTGAACTAAGTCATGCAGATCTATAAGAGCATATTTAAACTAAATATTAATTATAGCAATAGCCGCCATATTGTTGAAGACGAGCGAAAGGAAATTTCGTGTGAATCACCACTTGCATGGAGACGCCTAGATGCACTTGGATGCAATTTGCCTGTAGTTGAAAATCTCCAGAAATATCGGTATATCTTAGAAAACATAGACGGGATCTTCATAGATTTCAGCTGATTCGTGCCAAACTTCGGTCTGCCCATAAATAATATCGATTGAGAAGTCGTTTGGCTATTTACTTGTTTCGAAGACTTGTATATTTCATTAAAGAATATCTCGTCACTCCTTGACGAGTAGCTGTCAAATACTGCCATTTTTTGGGTAGACACGTGACCGGCCCAGACCGGGGCTTCCTCGTGTCTCGCCTCGTCCTCACACTGAAGCTCTGGGAACGAGGTTGAGTCGCATTTTTCTAGTGTTTTATTGGTCGAGAGCATATCACGTGAGAGTGACGAAATTGGGCTGTCTCCCTCGCAACAGCGTGAGAAGGAGATAATACGTTATCGACCGGCGAATAACGAAAAAAAAATATCACGCGCGCCATCACGTGAAAATGCAACCTTTCGACATGCCTAAAAGCGCGCGATTTTACTTTTTAACAGTTTATGACAACAATTTAAACTTTCGTTTTAAGTAACTGCAGTGTTTAATTTAACGTTTTAAGCCCTGTTTAAACGGATCCAACATTGTTGGGCCAACATCGTCCAACATTGTTGAAATAATGGCCCAAACGGCTTCTTTTTCAATTTTTTGTCAAGACTAGGTTTAGAGTTTGAGTAAAGCTTATCTAACCAAAAAGATTTGAAAGAGAAGCAGTCATATCTATTATAGTAACATTGTTGGATGATGTTGGTCCAACAATGTTGGATCCGTTTAAACAAGCCTTAACAATAACATATTTCATCAACCTCGTACCCAGGGCTTTTTGCTTCCTCTGTCGGATGGTCAGCGAAAAAGGCCCTGGCATCGGCTGGTCTGTTTTGCAATCTGATTGGTCAATGATTTTGAATATAATTATTCAATATACGGGGGAAATATATTATTAAAATTATTATTTTGGTGAAACGAGAGTGGAGTGACAAATTTATCATTAGTTCTTGAAGGACTAAAGTATTGAGTAAATTAAAATTAAGTCTTTGTACATTGTATAGACGAGTATTTGATTCGTTTCAACATACATTTCTCACATGCGTTGTTTATACATCGTCGATTTCAAGAAACATACAGCGTTATACTTTAATATAGTCAAAGATTGTGATACGAATATATTTGCTCATAACACGATTTATATAAACCAAACGGCAAACGCTGAAGCGGTTTTGTTTTGTTTGCTTGTTCATTAAGAATTGAGCAAGAATTGATCGGGCTATGTTGCTGAATGAGGTGTAAACAACGAAAACCGAATAAAGTCAACTTATTTCGTTGCTTTCCCTTTGATTATATATACGCAGCATTGAGTTTGTTTACTCCTGTCAGTAATTACAATGTATATCATTATTCTATATACGTACTTATACGCATAAATTATCATAATTGAACACCCCAAATACTGGAGATTTTGAGGTCATGTGACCGGCCGATGCCAGGGCCATTTTCGCTGACTTGAAGCAAAATGCCCTGGGTACGAGGTTGATATTTCATGCATTTACGTTCATTTGTTCTTTAATTAATTTGTTGTTTCTTTTAATCTATATAGCTGAAACACATACTGAGCGAAACAATTACAGGCCCATTTCTATATTACCGATTCTATCTAAACTCCTCGAACGACATGTTGCCAACTCATATGTAAAATTCCTCACAGAAAATGATATTCTGTCAAGTTGCCAGCATGGTTTTCGAGCCCATCGCTCTTGTGAATCTACTCTAATATTGATCTGTGAACACCTTCTCGATAACATTGAGCAAGGTTTAATTAATGGTATAGCTCTGATTGACCTCTCCTAAGCGTTTGACCTGGTCGATCATAGATTGCTACTGAAGAAATTAGAACAATATGGCATTACTCCAATAGCTTTAAAATGGTTTAAATCGTATCTAAATGATCGTTACCAAGTAGTACAAATTGCATAATCCCTATCCAACCCAGCTCTGATAAAGTCTGGTGTGCCCCAAGGATCTATACTAGGACCAATTCTCTTTCTTATCTTTATTAACGATTTATACCCAGTTACGTTGGAAGTTCTAAGCCTTTTTTATTTGCCGATGACTCGACATTAATATCCTCCGGATCGGACCTTCACGAACTTATAGTGTCTCTCTAAAGTCAGATATGACCTCAGTGTCCCGTTGGACTAACCATAACAAAATGTCTCTTAATCCTGGCAAGACAAAAATAATGAAAATATATTCCCAATCCAAATTCCCTGATCTTAGTCCAATAACCATTGAAGTCAATAACAATAATGTTAAGGAGATTACATCCGCCATTTTACTTGGAGTTACATTAGACCAACATCTGAAATGGGATAGGCAAATTAATACCATCTACAATATAATCAATTCTAGACTTTACCTGCTCAAACGTATACGTAGCGATCTCACTTTTCAATCCCGTATTCAATTGTATTACGCACTAATCTACCCGCACTTGCTATATTGTAGCACAGTCTGGGGCAATGCTAATAACGATCTAATTACGTGCCTACTAAAACTACAGAAACGTGCAGCGAGACTAATTCTTGAGCAGTCAACTGAAGTGCCTTCAATTGTGCTTTTCCGTAAACTCAACTGTATACCTATTTTTAATTTGATCAAAATGAGAAAAATATTATTGGTATTCAATACTTTAAAAACATCTTGGCCGCCGGATCTTCGTAAATTGTTTGT